TAAATAAAATCTCTGGCAATAAGAGCGCACGGCGACGTGTCTAATTTAGCCGCGCTAAAAGGCCATCAATCATCGTGCATATTAAGTATCGTAACACGAGCGGCGATCATCGCTCTTTCATTTAATAAACGATGCCGTCGCGTGGGATGCATCACTTATGAGAATGCACTCAACATGAGCGTGCGTGTCCAACGCACATACTCGAGAATGACTCGGCCCAGCCGCGGTGACCTCACCCGGCGAGGTGTCCGCATGACAGTACGCGTTCTCCTTTCAACAGGAAACCACCGTTCTATTCGGTCGATCAACCGGTCCCGCGTGCGCGCACACCTTTTAACATCTCGCTGGCCAGCCGGCCTTATAAATCGGCCGATATTAATTCTATGCATATTTATAATTCGTAAGCGCGTACATACATCGCGGCGCGCGCTTCGATTTATGAGAACGCGCACGAGCCGAAGACAGTATGATTAATAATGGTACACAGTAAAGGTACACAGTATCGAGCAAACATCGGAACCGCACGTCCGCGTTGCGGCATCGATAATCGTCCCGGAGGGAATATTAATCTCCCGGGAAGAATTAACCGCAGCGATCGAACGACCGTTTAACACGTCGCCCATGGGCTAACACTTTTTTATCCCAACATGCACGCGCACATATCGCCGACCTGGCGCGAGAGAATTGTACTTAAATTCAATGAGATCAGAAAATTTTCAAGTTTCGAATGGTGAATGGCTCATGGGCACTCGTGGCACTTTGATACACGGATTGCCGATTTATGGACGCGGAGAGTTATTAAATTAAATAACTTGATACGTGCAAAAAGTATTCTCTTGTTGCTACTCGCAAGATTGTTCAAGGTTTCAAGTTAGAATATTTTAAGAGGAGATAGAAAGCTTAATTTTTCAAACAGCATGGGTGGTGATTAAATAATAGCATCGAAACATTCGTGACACACAATTGCATTCATCCATAACGCGTGTTCATACGTTGGCGAGTAGAAATAGAGCATCTATTCTCGAGACGCGAGCGCATTTCCCGTCGGTGCAAAAGTATGGTACCGGCGATACCGGTTTGCGGATCTCAACCGCTTTACTCGGACTAACTCTTAGTCCTCCTCCGCCTCTTTGCCTTCCGTTTCGCAATTGCGGGGGCAGTAAGTAATAAAGGCGCGGACGAGGATAAAATCCTGCAAATGCATTGTAAATCGCTGCGAAATAATTGTCGAAATAGCGACGTTAAACTTTAGTTAGAAACAATCACAATAGACGAATACTATAACTTTCGTTTCAGATGCCCTGAATTAGTCTAATAGATTTTATCTTTTGTTCAATTTTTCCAAATTTCTGTCGGTATATTAGTCATTCTAAAGATTTAACAGTTAACTGAAAAATATTGATAAAAAACTAGACGAAAATAGTAAATCGCTACGTATATTGCAAAGTATCCATGTGTACTGCTTATGTATCTCTCCTCTTTCCATAAGATACCTCGCCCTTTCTCTACACCTCCGTTTCTCCTGCTAGCAAGAAACGCGACATCATTAATAACGGTTTTATGTAGATTTTATAAAACTAGGACATAAATGCGCGCCTTTTTTTCTTTTCTTTCTTTCCTTGGTCCAAATAAATATTTATTTGATTCAAATTGATGTCCAAATAAATATTTACTTAGTAACTAGTAAATATTTACTTGATTGAAGTAAATATTTTTTTTATTCAAGTAAATGATTTTTTTGATTCAAGTAAATATTTACTTGATTCAAATAAATGATTTTTTTGTACTCGTTATTTTTATATTACAGAAATCGCTATTTATTGATAATTTTTATTATATTAATTTATCTTTTAATTATTTTCTGTAAATAGAAGAAGTTTATAAAGATTAAATAATCTAATGCTTGATACATCGCGCGCGCTTAATCTGAACCACCTTACTAGTCGAACCATTACTTGGGTCGGGGCAAGGACGGCAGCGACCTTCTCTCGGAGTCGTAAGACTCCAACACGGTGCGCTGCAACACGGTGCAACGGACGGAACGCGATGCGCCGCAACGCAACAACATGCTGGGCAATAAAATCGAACTCACAGGAGAGGTCCAGATACTTTTAAATTTACAATGTAGCAGAATTTTATGCCGTTCAGGTTTGCAAGAGAGGGATAGAGAGATTATCGTGTACAATAAAAGGAAAAGGAATATTACTTTCTTTCTCTCTCGTTGTTTTTTCGCGCGGCCACCGCACCATAGTGTCACGTAATAACACCAATATAAAATGTATATTGATAATTTATAGAAAATATTACGAAATGTCCTAAAATTTTTCAAAACGCGTTTGCGCTTATCTCGATTCACGAACGCGGCCAGGATTTTTAGAAAGCTCCATGAGCATCGTGTCAAAATTTAAAATTCTATTCTTATATATATCTTCATATATATTTATATTTTTAAGTTTTTTTGTAATTGCTTGTTACAAAATTTAATCTTATTATCATTGAATATAAATGTAGAATTTATATTTCATATTAAGAAAATGTTTCATAAAATCCTTGCCAAGATATACATATTTAGTTTTCACAAATAAATTTTCTACTTTTTGCTTCGAGATGTGAAATATTGCATCTCTTCACATGCTTCTTGTGGCGCCCATGACTGGACTCCTGCTTGTATATCCTTTCTCTCGGTATACGTGGTACATGTTGCCGAGCAATCGCGTAATAAAAGATAAATTAAGCGTTTATGTTCGCGCGCGCCGACAGCAGTCGCTATCTCCTGGACGTAGGATTCATTAGTACTTAAGAAACACGCACAGCTAATTACCGTCAAATTTACCTTAAAACGCTCATAATGTTACGCGGCTTCCTGCAATTTCCAAGAGAGATTTGCTCTCACATCTTTGCTTCAGCGCATCTTCTCGCAAAACTTTCCGAACTTTTCCTTCTTCGCAGGCTTTGTCGGCGCATCGAGAGACAAAGATCAATTTTTAACAATAATATTATTTTCATATCTCTCTCGAAATGTCACGAATATTAATTTTATCTTTTTTCGTACTCAAGACCGCGTATTATTGTGCGAAAGTCATCGTTCTGATTCGCACGATCAGAGGCACGTAGCCTCTACAATGATCACTATAATCAAAACATATGAATATAAATTGCCTCAGCGTGTACGAGTATTTCAGATACCACTCGGTGGCGAAGAAAAATCGTTAAAATTACTTCAAGGTCCACAATGTAAGCAGTCACGAAATTCCTCAACTGCGACAAGCCGCAAGAATGTAAACGTGTAATAAAGAGCTGCTCGGCTCATATTAATTACCTTTTCACCCCGCGTAAACGTCGATTGCTACACGCGCTCGCTTTATTCCGAGATTCTCATCTACAAATATCTGCGACAATTCCATTCTTTTTGTCGCTTATCATTGTATCGGGACGCCATTGTTTGCAAATGCGAATGCCGAGCGCGTAATGGTTCCGGAATTATTAGACGTAGGGCTGCTGCGTTTGAGCGATAATCTCGCCCACGTCGCGCAGTCCTTTACGGAGCGGAGGAATGAGGATCCCGATAAACCGCCCGTTCCCGTATAAATATCGCACTCGTGACGTTGGCTCTTTACCTGCGATTCGTCAAGGTCGCGGTTACAAAGAACTCGAGCACCCAGGTATCTTATTACACTCGCGATAGCCGCGTATCTTATTATATAGGTATAGAACCCACGGCGCGAGCGGTGATTGGAAATCGATTAAGAACACGATCGATAAGCTAGGGGCTAAAAATCAGAATGAACGATAATTACCCGCGTCCTCTGGGCGGCGCGTAATTTATACTCGGAGCTGAAAGTCACGGGACGTTGCAAATAAATCGCGAAAACATAGAACGCGCGCTGTAAATAATCTATCAAGATCTAGTAGAGCCATATTTTGTAACGCGCATATGAAACGTGTTTATGTAAAGTGATGTGAACTTTGACATTCCCCAAGAGTTCGGTTAGTACTTGAAGAATTGTTTAACAAAGATCTGTGGATGTTGAAAATTTATTTCATGCGAACTTAACTTTAATAAAATGTTCTGAGAACTTACTAATTTCAATGTTAAACGGACAAATGGAGCCTCCCTTATTCAGAGAGCAGGAAGCGACGCGAAACTCAGCCGTGTTCACGACGAGTCTGCTGTAAAAATGTTCGAGATTTCCATCGGGAGGCTGCCTGGCGTGTCTTTGAAGGACTTTACGAGCGATCACGTCGGGCAATTTATAAATCGCACGGATGCACACCTGTCTGCGTCCTTCGTGAGTCTCTGCAAACTCGGTTCGTGTAAAAGCAGTTTATCGCCCCTCGGCGCGGTTTCGAGAGCCCCGACACGATCGCACTGCCGTTCGCATTTTGTTCCGTCTTTTTCGGAAGAAGGGTATAAAGTATTCGCGAACTTGTTCGCCGATTCCACACTGCGTTTAACGACGCCACAAACAGACGCGAGAATTCTAAAATTGTCGCACTAAAATGTTACGAACGGCGCGTTGCACGCCGGATTCTGTATTTGGACATTGCAGTAATTCGGATGTTAGTGCAACTTCATTTGCGTGCTATTACTTATTTTTCATCACATCAGTTAGAATTAATTGAGCGCTTAACAAACTTCTTACCCTCTTTACTGCAATCGTTCGCGCTGCAGTAGATATTTCACAATAAGCATACTTGATATATATAAAGATATTCTTGTTATATTCTTGTTATTCGAAATAAAAACATCAATAATTTTGAGCTGTGATTAATTAAAGAAACTTGCTGAAATATAATTAAGATTTGTTAGCAATTCTGAAACTGCCTTTTACTCTCTTGCACACTAAAATATTTAAAACTACGAAAAAATATATGGTCTCCGATTAAATTCTGACAGGGTGAAAAATTCCGTTTATAAAATGCGCTTATAAAATTGAAGTAAATATTTAACAATCCAAGTTATCCAATCACAATGACAAACAATCGTGTGTTTTTTTCAGGTTCTGCTTCAGGCAGCACTGGTCTGGGAAGAAGTGCGCGGCGCTCCGGTGAAGAAGAGCGACATACTCGCCGGCACGGAATTCTTATCAGTCTTCATAAACGGTGCCATGGCATCGCCGCCGCAGCGACGTCGGGGCTTCCTCCGACGCGGTCATCATGCAGCCTCGTCGGCGGGCGACAGCGCGACCGCCGAGTCGCATCAGAACGAAGCGTCGATCTATCGAATATCTCGAAATCCAGCCGCTGGCCGGCCGATCTCGGTCTCGAGACCACAGACGAACGGTCGCGAAGAGGTACGTTTTTATCCCATAAGTCAGAAAACGCTGGAGAACCGGCAGCAAAATCTAGCGTCGTTGATCGATGATCTGAGCACACCGGGCGGCATAAACTCGGCGCGTCTGACGCCGTCGAGCGTCGCGGCGACAACGACGACGACTACGACGATGACGAGTGCACCGCCGCCAGTCAACCGTAATCGAATAATCTCTAAATCGAACGGGACTAATGTCTCTGTCGCCATCGGCAGAGGCGTCAGTCGACAGAAGGTGATCGGTGTCAGCGTCACGTCCACGGTCGAGGCTACGCCGTACAAAGTGCGTGTTGAGCATTACGACAACGCTGATGCCGCGGTAGTAACGCGACCGCCAAGTTTGGAGTCATCGGCGAACAAAGAAATTGCTAGGGAACCAGCTAGAGAATCGTCTGGAAGCACGCCGAGGGAGATGAATAAACCGTCGACATCATCGCCGTCATCCACGACGACGACAACGACGACCACGACGACGACCACGACGACGACGATGATGACAACGCCGCCGCCGGCCGGATTCGTCACGGAAGACCTCAGCAACATCGTCTCGGAATCGAACAGAAGCGAGTTCTCCGTCGACGAGGATTCGCCGAGGACCAGTTGGCGCGATCGCGTCACTATGACACCGCGAATTCAGCAGGTTCCCGCGTTCACGGAGAATCATCGGGACGAGATCAACGATACCACGCGTATTGTCGACGTTGACGCGATCACTCCGACGGAGGAGAATTACGAGCTGCCGGTGGTGAACTCGGAGCCGCGCGAATTAAACGAGGAGCTGCCGGAGGTGTCGTCAGATCGGCTTCAGGGACGCAAGATGGGACGTCACTACGACGCGTCGCTCTACGATCGCTCGGGCTCGAAGGTGTACGGTCAGTCGTCCAAGATATACAAACCTGCGCATACATACAATGAACCCGCCAAGGTGTACAGCGAACCGGCTAAGGTTTACAGTGAGCCCGAGCGAGTGTATGGAGAACCTGCTAAAGTGTACAGTGAGCCTGCCAAGGTCTACAGCGAGCCGGCCAAGGTTTACAGCGAACCTGCTAAAGTCTACAGCGAACCTGCCAAGGTCTACGGTGAGCCAGAGAAGGTTTACTCCGAACCATCCAAAATCTACTCGGAACCGGCCAAGATCTACTCGGAGCCGGCCAAGATCTACTCGCAACCGGCCAAGGTGTACGGCGAGCCTAGCAAAGTGTACGATTCCGAAGGTCAACCGATCGATCGTCACCAGCAGCAAGGTGAACCCGACGAGCAGAACTACGAGGTCGACGAATCGGTCAGCGTCGGCAGCAACGGTAACGTTCACGGGCCGCAATTGGTCGTCACGGAAGAAGCGCCGGGTGCGTCCGAGGTTGAAGACGGTCACAAGGTCGGCTACGTGGTCGAGGGCAGGAACTACAGGAAGTATAGAGTCGAGGAGAGAACGCCGGACGGCTTCATCGTAGGCGAATACGGCGTCGTTAGTCACGACGACGGCTCGCTGCGTGGCGTCAGGTACACCGCCGACGGTACCATCAATCCTCAACTCATCTACGACGCTCTGATGAAGTTCCTCGCTCTGTGAGCGCCGCAACAACGAGCGGAAGGAAACGAGAGGAAGGAGGACGAATCGACAAATCGTCGCGAAACACCACGAAGATCGCGCATCACTGACGGACTGATTTTCTTATCCTACGAAAAATTTACAATTGTGTGCACAATATTTCTATTCTAGCTAGATTTTTCAACGTTAGCAATGTCTGCCAATGCTGGCAGAAAGAAATACTACGAATCAAATACTACGAAAGCTAGCCTGTCCTTTTTCAGGAAGAATCGATTACATGACAAGAAACGGCAAATCAGCGAATTGCGGATTAATTCGGGGTGGCTTCGACGACGTCGTCGACGAGACGAACACGACTGATTCTTTTGCTCTTGCCAACTCAACTGCCTCAACAATTAATTTTAAGGACGACATTTAGGATCTAAGGAAGAGCCCGCTGCGTGTCCTACCAAGGTGACCCGTGCGCGCCGCCGATTTGTGTCCGATCCCGAGGACCGAAAGGTCGTCCGAGATCGACGCACGAAAGTTGAATCTCGATGCACAGTCATTGCGAAACGCTGACAGATGAAAGTTACTCTTTGGGTGGCGAAAGTACGAACTTTTGTGTGTAGTGCTGCTCGATGGCCTTTGATGATTGTGGCAACCGATCGAAGTGGTTGTCAAATGTTTTTCTTCCGGGCTATTCGCAAAGCTCTCGAAGCGAGAACAGGACTATTAAAATATTTTAGTGCGCAAGAGAGCCTGCACTTGACGATATGCATCAGCTCAGATTACTTCCAATTGTAATATTAACAATGTCAAAGTCGGTAACTTTGTATCTCTAAAATTTATACGATCTTCTACACGGTATTTATATTGGTTTTTGCCTGAAAGCATCATAAAAAATGTATAGTCATCGTAAAATTATTATAATTATGAGATACGCATGAAAAACCATGTGAGCCTTTTAATTAGATTTAGAAATATAGTGAAATACGAAATGTTAAAGAAAGATCTAATCTCAATACAACTATTAACACAAACTCGATTTTAAATTTACGCTGGCAATAATTTCCGCGCGTGTACGTAGTCTTCTCAACTGAATATCTCAAATAACAAGAATCTGTACCCGCCTTTATATTTTCGGTGACGATGTATCCGCAACAGACCCTCGATCTTTGATCTCTGATCTTTGATCTCTTGTAAGAAAATCTTGGGTCGAGCTCAGAGCCGCAAAGATTCAGACCGAACGAAATATTTTAGCTGAAGCAATAGAATTTTTTAACATGTCAAGCACGTTTTGTGTGAAAAGAACTCATATTGCAACACGGAAATAATCTACGGCGCAAATCGGTTATCTTTCTATTAATTTTTTTGAACGATAAATCGAAACGCTGGAGATGGTTGATTGATCGACACGATCTCGTGCGAATTGAAAGTAAATCTTTTTTATACATTAGATAGATGCTATTAATGGCAAGAGACCTATATCTATCAGAGATTAATTTAATCGCCGAAGGGGATCTAACGAATTACTCCCTAATGATGTCAAAATTAACGCTAGAACACTTAGATTTTTCAAACTTACCGCCTTTAACGCTTAAAAAAACGACTCAATTTATTCTCATACTTTACACATTCAATATTATTTCCTGCCGAATCATATGCAGTATGATGATTCCCATTTCGAAATTTATCCAAGTTTCTTATAATTTCGATAACATCTAAAGAAAATATATTAGTGCAGGATTGATAAATGAATCGAATGCATCTAAGTGTTTTAGAGTTAATTTTAGAATTAACAGCCTCCGAAATCATTGACTGAATATTCCCTTCGTGTGCATCGCCGTCACGCTTCTGCGATGAAGAGGTAAACGAGGATGTTGCAGCTGCCAGGGCCCTTATTCGAAAATGATTCGACGGTCCTCCGATTTTATCAATGGGGGCCCCGCAGCAGCGATGGACGAACCGACTTGTCGCGGCAGCGTTTCTGCGCGTCTACTAGTTTTAAGCTCCCCTAGATATTAAGACTGTCCCACATCAAAGGAAATATCTCAATCAGCGAGAAAGCCTCGTTTTTTTTTCCGTAGCAATTATATTACCTAGTGTATAAAACTAGCTCGTTTTCTTCTTATTACCTCAGTCCTTTGAGATAGTTCCTCTCGCCATGCAATATCGAGCGAGCATCCTAAGCGCGAGTAACGCTTCGCCAAACTAGCGAGAAGTATCTACGGGATGTTCCAGAATTATCGTTTCTCTCATAAACGAGCAATTACGGTAAAGTCAATTACGAATTGAACAATGAATAAATAAATTCACAAATAAAAGTGGTGGTTTTAGTTCCTGGACATTCCAGATATCTCTCGCGTATTGCTCACGTTCGTAGACTAAGTAATGTCTTGATTATTCTGCTTTACTCGCCCGTATATGTACACTTCTAAAGCAATCCGATATGTTACAGACGGTATCTCTAAGAACTTCCTCACATGTAAGGCATGCAATTTAGATAATATTTACTATTAAAATATTATGTATAGTACGCTCTGTGCAGCCGTCGCCATTTTTCAACAACAATTTTGTAATAAATTGATTGCCATGAAAATAACATCCCAATTATTTTACTCTACAGTAGTCCAGAAGTATACTTTTTAATCTCTGATTTTATAGTTAAAATTGTTCCTTGATAATATTAGCTTTATTGTGCCTTTTCTATTTTAGTGTTTGGTATTACATTATTGAGCAGCCAAGTTTTTAAATAAATTTTGTTAAGGAATATTTATAAGAAATTGAAACAAGAATTAAGTTTAGCAATATTTAATATTGCTAATAAATTTTTGTATTTCTATTGCTAATACGTGTTGCATATCTTTGTTTTCTAATTTTTCTACACAAAATGCAAACGAGATAAAACCCATATTGTGCCGTAATTACGATTAAATTTTCACAAATGTTAAACGAAATTGTAGTCAGTAAAAGTATAATATTTTTTAGCTACTATACAGAAGAGGCTCTTTTTACCAAGCATGTCGTATTTAAAAGATCTTCAAATTTTACGACGTTCGACCGTTCGGTGAAACTCCCGCCATAAAAAACGAGTCAATATATCAATAATCACGATTTTTATGTTGTACCAACAAATTATATATCAAACTTGTACTTTGATAATCATTTTTTTTTGCAGAAACATTGAACGATTGAACTTATTAACAAAAAATATATTGTTTATGTGCAATAAAATTGTATTAAATATTATCACAATTACGCACATGATTAAATAATGAGTAAATCATTTTATTACTCACCAATCATCAGGCTATTGCGGTTTGGTTGCAGTTTGCTTGCTGATTCCATCTCAGATTATTTCGTACCCGCTTCATCGGAGAATCCAGAGCAAGAATATCCAAGGAAACTCTATTGCTGAATAATGAAAATCACATCATATTTAAAGCAAAACTGTGCCATCAAATAAGTTTCGATAGACACGCAGAAATCATAAAAATTACATTTTATTCAAGTTAATTCCGAGTTGAATTTTTAGCATGCTATGTATAAACGACAAATGCACCATGCGCCCATAGCGTATCGAAAATAAAATATACTTACGGGAATTGTATTGATGAAATATTGTTGACTGCAAATATTTGCCTTTACATTGGAAACACATGAAGCAAATAACAGTAAATAAAATAAAAAATTGGCGCAATTATGCGAAATCCGTTATGTACACAACACGACTGCATTTTTCCGATTTAATTTCGACGAGTTAAATTTCTAACGTGCAAATAAAAAACACACAACTGTATTTCTTTTTTTTTTTTTGTCATATTTGTAGCATCAAAATCTATACTCTCACTAAAATTATAACCTATTTCAATAATCCGACCGTCGAATCATAGACGAAATATCATTAATCGCGAATACTCATGATAAATATACGTATTCTGCATCGCCCGTCGCTTTGATCGGCACTTTCGGTTTATACCGGAATTTATATTCACACTCATTATGCACTTTTAATTAATAAAATACACAAAAAATCGCGGAGTATTCGCGCTATTTTACACCACACTGCATTATACATAGTAGAGATTATTATAATGACCACAGGTGGCGCCCATGTTATCGAATATTTCGACGATCGGTATCAGTGCTACTTACATTATCAACCGTTGAAATATTTGCTAAGGGCGCCATCCTTCGGCCACTATATTAATCTCTATTATGCGTGGTATAAAAAACGGAATACGAATTCTCCGCGATTTAATTGTGTATTTTATTAATTCAAAGTAGATAATGAGTGCGAATTTATATCAGAAGTGCTGAACAAAGTCGTCACTTTGACGGGCAATGCATAATACAAGTATTTATTACGAGTGTTCGCGATTAATGGTGTTTCGTCTGTTTCTGTCTGTCTGGTGGCCGGATCATTGAAGTAGGTTATGATCTTACAGTAGTGAGTACAGATTTTGATACTACAAAAACGCAAAATAATATGTTTGCTTAAGAAATCGAATCGAAGTCGTGTACTTTTTATTTGTAATTTATTCGGAATTAAATCGGATGAAACATAATTATGTTGTGTGCGTAATTGACGACCTATGTGTAACCTCGCCAAACGGTTTGTCGTTTCTTCCGAGTGAGTGTGTAATATTGCTAGGTATAATTGCGTGTGTGTGAACGCGTTACGGCATAAAAGTTGTTTTATCTCATGTTTTCGTAAATCACAGCGTAGCAAATACGCGACGTGGATCCGTGCAAAAGTGAAAGTGAAGTGCGTATGACTGACAAGTGTGGGTGTTCGATATTCAGCAATGGAGCTTGTTATTCTTGAATGAAATTGATACAGAATAATCAACGAATGAGGAGGAATTTGCAATGGGGATCGAGCACACTTCAATATCCTAGCTGGTAAATAATTATTATCTAAATATGCATACATAGATAATTGTGACAACGCATTTATTCATCATTACATATTCATCATTAAAATTTGTATTTATTAAAAAATTACAATACATGTGTGCTTAATATATATATAATTAAATATTTATTAAACATCTATTGAATTTTAAAATATTAGAGAAAATCAAAAAGTAAAGGAACATTTAAGAAATCAAATCTTTCGGTAATTTTTTTTCTTTTTACTTTTCCTTGTAATATGTAGTAATTAATTCACATAAAATGTATATGATTTTTAATAATATATGTACATATATATTTACTTTTTTAGGTATAGCTGGATGGCGTACTTAGCTAGGGTACAACGACCGGTGAGTGAATTCATATTATTTGCGTACTTTCATGCGCTTTATAATAATAAACTGTATACCAGTTATTTCAAAAATTACGAAAAAATTGAACCAATTTTTACTCCTGGCACAAAAAGTGCTTTATAACTTTATTACTATGTCCAGAAAGTAAATGGATAATGTGCACATCACGATATCAAGCGATTACCGTGAGAATAGAGGATCGTTAATGTTGCTGGTACACGTATGAAATTAAAGGAAAATTTTCAGGGTCTCCATTTGCATATATTTATTAAGCATAATGTCCATTTGCGCGATGTACACGAAGGCCATAGTTATTTCCATTGCCGTAGGATATGTGCTGAATTACAACGGAATCAAAATTTTTTCCGTATTTGTAGCACGCACGATATTTCTTGAATCGAGACGTCAGATGTGAAGAATCTGTCAAAGCCAAGTACTAACATTTGCGTTTCTTTTCCTTAAATTTTTTTTTTCAACAGGTTACATTAAAATCGAAGCTGTTTCCCTACTCGCAGCACGTGCAACATTGTCGAATATTGTTTTATAATGTAGGGAAATAATCTCATTTCTGACTTCTGTAGGAAATTAATAACAAAGTTGAAACAATAAATAAATGCAATTTGTGTAACACGCGTAAATTAATTCTACTAGTCTAATAAGTCGATAGGCTTTTATGTAAAATCGGCTCGTTTGTAAAATAATTTCAAAACGCGATATCTATTAAATATCGCCCGCGGCGATTGAAACGAAACTTGAGAATATTCACGCACGACAAGATTAATAATTGCGTGTCATGTAACGATACTGATTCTTCATTATCGTGGCGCCACAGACAGGCGGTATTGTGAGATACTTGTACGTTTTGTCACGGGTCAGTGAACGTCCTTGGAAACCGGGCAATTTTCTTCTTCGAATACGTCTCGACAATTCGACGCCTACGTTGATGTTAATAATGATCTGTCTTGAGCAATAATCATGAAAGTATGATTACGGTTCCCAGAGTTCTCAAAATATCAAGTTACGAAAGCATGATTTTCTCACCTGTGAAAAATGTTATAAATTTTGCAAAATAGTTCAAGTCGACTTACGCCGCAACGAAAAGTTTATCATCTGCAAATAGTTGTGTTAAAAAATCTTTGATATAATATATAAATTTTATATTATTACAATCGGAAATAATTATCAAATATATTGGGCAATCATTAATAGAGATATCCATTCGCTTCTTTTTTTTTCTTCCTTGTGGCTAGATTTATTTATTTAAAATATATGCATATATTTCTTGTTTGTCCTTTTACTATTGCTTGATTGGTGTACAGCATGATTATTTATCTTGGAAGCTTTTTTCCTTGTCTTCGAGGTCTCGCAGAGATAGTCTCATAAATAATGCTAATAAATCTGCTGGACATCATCGAGTCTATCATGAAAATGGACAGCTCGGAATCGATTCAATGAATGATACGCGGCGCATCAAGTAAAATTATGCAAATTACACACCAAACACACAATAAAAACGCACATGATGGCATTTATTTTATTAAATTGGTATCAATTATAATTTATTCTTCCAACGATAATTTACACGTTCGAAAATTGCTTCAAGAATATTCTCATTTAAAGAACCAATATCCTGTTCAATAATGTTTCAATGACACTAATGCGTTTCACTTTAATTAAAGCTTAAATCGGAATAAAATTGTACTTCACATTTGTCATCGAGCCGCATATTTCTTATAATGAGTTTTTCCATCATTTTCACATTTTTAGATCTTTTTAACATAAAATATTATTGAAATAAAAATGAGAGATGCTAAACATGAGATTAATAATAAATATAAAAGATATATCTACATAAATTTTCTACGCTACTTAGATTTTTATAAAGCAGTTCTTTTGAGCGAAAATATATTTTAAAAAATTTTTTAAATTTTTCGATTGATCACAGCCACATGTCTAACCTTGTAGATACGCAGAGGCGTTTTCTAGGTGACTCTCACCTGATACAGGTGAGAGTCGATAAATAAGAAGGAAGGTCTTACCGCCGTACGGTCGGATTACCGATACGGCGTGTTGGATTAATAGAAGAGCAGCGTTCAAAGGACCAATCGCCTACGGTTTCGACGGCGAATAAACACGGCCACGTGATTTCGCCACTCGATATATCGCCGGTCGACGCCGGCCGTCCGGTCACGCTCCTTATTGTACAAATAATTGAAACACTAATCCCCTTTGCCCTCGCGCTGACAATCAGGACGTGATCAGACATAGTGCGACGAACCACTATTTAGAAGTGCGTGTTCGAGAGGGTGCAACCCCGGAACGGGATGAGCGTCGTAAAAGTGGAAGCGCAAACACGTGATACTCATTCACCTCGCGGGGGTGCACGTGACTTTGATACACTTTTACTTTAAAATAAGTCTCTATATTTGCTCGTGACGGAAGAAACTTTAGATTGCGTTACAATTGGAGGAATAAAAATATGCCGCGTGATTCGAAGGGGTGGTGGATTGAAAGATCAAGGCGCAAAAACTAGAAGATTTTTGGCTTTTAGAATTTTATTTTGGAAAAGCTTGCAGAATGTGAAAGACTAAAGTGGATATATAGAGATTTATATATATAGAGATTTCTCTTTTTATAAAAAATTTTAAAAACTGATACTTTATTTAATGATTCGAAGAACCTCAAAATTACGCAAGTTTAACATCACAATAAAAAATATTTTACGTTGCGTGATATAAAGTCTTAATTAAATTTAAAATAACTAAAGTCTAAAAGAAAGAGACTTTGGAATAAAAAAAAATAACGAATTATTAGTATCTTTTTAAATGTAAATATAAAAATAAAAAGATGCTAATTTTTTATTCTAAATCTTTAATGAATTCTAAAACTAGCGGGTGTGTGAAGTTAGCATCCTGATATAAAAATTCTTTAGTTCTAATTGAAGTTTCAATTTCTTTTTGAGGAATTCTCTTTTAATATTTAAAAAAAGAGAGCTGTAATTCTAATTCTAACATCTTGTAAAGACCCTCTCTCTCTCTCTCTCTCTCTTTCTCTTTTTCTCTCTTTCTCTCTCTTTGTGAGTACGTCGGAATATTAATATCATACAATTTAAATAAAAAATTGGCGCAATCTCAGCACATTACAAATAATTACGGAGCCAGGTACGGAAGAAATATCTCAGAAAACGCTCTGAATGACCACCTACAGAGGATAACGAGCGGAAAATTAGTGGTGCATGAAGGTACTAAGAGGGTGTACCACCTGTGCACGCTGCCTCCATCACAACCGAGGGAAGTTCCACTCGACGGCGAAATAAAGAGAGAGAAAATGAAAGCTCGGCGTATCCTTCGTCCTTCGCGGCTCGTCACTCCTCCCACGCCCCTATTTCATAAACGAAGGATCTGCACGCCTCGCAACGCGACCGAGTACAAAGGTAGTCGACGGAGGCATTCAGCCAACATAGATCTTCGATAAAACATTGAATGCTGCGTCCATTCAAAGCCTATCCGCCCCCTTTTGTTCCCCTCCAGGAGCCGTTCTTGTCCTCCTCTCGTGGACTTCTTGGGACGCACGCCCACAAAACTTGAAATGTCGTCGCATTTCGATCTTCCTGGACGATCTTCCTGATGATCTGACGCGCGTATTTCGAGATCCAAACGATCCAACGGTTACTACATGCATAAAGGCGAACGAATTTCAATGACGGCTCCTCGAATCACTAACAATGACGCTGACAATAGCGTCGAACAAGTCGCTGCCTTGCATACGACAAATATTTATCTTGAAGCTACATCAATAGCTCTGATTTTAGACGATATCCGGGATGTCTTTTTTCACGTTCATATCGCGATTAAATAGCGTGAGAATTATTAATAACATTTAATGGATGAGAAATTTATATGCTATGTTGTTTTATGACCATGCATCTATCTTCAACAGTAATAATCTTAAAATAAATGCAGCACATAAATGCTGCATTTTATTATGTTACATTTAATATATCTCTTTATCCAATTACCATTTTATTTGTGCATTAATCATTTTATAAAAATATCTTTAGATACAAGGCATCTCATCTGGAGATTCTGATTATCGTCTCTTTACGAAACTTCGCAATCAAGTTTGCATATCAATCTTACCGACACAAGCCGTGTATTGCAATTTGCGAATAACCGTAATAAATCCAGAAACTTTTCGATAGCCGTAAATATCCTTTGAGCGAATAAAAATTAGATAACGGTTATGAAATTTGATTTTTTTTCGATCTGCATAAATTCGATTTGTCATAATTTTCTCACATAGCAATTAAAGTCGCACGGCGAGATAAGGACATTTATTATTATGGAATTATTGCTACTATGCGTCCAAACTCATATTTCGCTAATTAAGTTCCGGACGTGAGCGATTGCCTTCCATTTTTTATCTCCGATTCTGCGCGTCATCGGCGGACCGTAATATAGGAGTAATTTGTCACATCGCGAGCTATCGGATGCCGGCGCTATACTAGCGTCGGGTGCAACCGCGTCCGCGTTAAGTGATTTGTCCTTGCCATCCCAAGGAGCCAGCATTATGCGGCATTGTGAATATAGATCCTTGACAAGAGGGGGAGATCCGCTTTTCGTCCAAAAGGGTACGAAACGAGAACCTTAATGTTGTTATGTCCGATATTACTTGCGCGTATGCGAACGAATCAATCATCGCACGTTTCTCAGGAGAATTTGTCCTCGTTTCTGCAATTAATTATTATTAATCGAAGGTACATGAGAAAAGATCTTTTTTATTTTATAAAAATGAACAAAATATTAAGTTTCGTAAGAAGGAATTAGCAAATAATGTTACAAAAAATTAAATAAGCGAAGGACCGTATAAACAAATTCGTGATGTAATGACGGAAAAAAACGGAATGAAAGAATCTTGTGTTTTGCCCTCTGCACGAAGATTCTTTGAAATACGGCTTTGCATCATAACTATGATTATCATGAAGACTGCAGCTCCCT